TGAGATAAAGAGAGGGCTGTCAATCCCGGGGGAACTCAGTGGAAACAGGATCTGTCACACAGCTATTGTCATACAAAAGGGAAAAATGGAAGTGAGTTGAGGGAAAGCTTTTTAACAGGGTATGTTGATTAAATGGTAGCCATGGGAACTGAACCTAAAGAAAAGCAAACATCATTAAGTCTTTAGAAATCTGTGTTAGTTGCTTAAAATTTTAAATGGCGTGGGATACAGTTAAGAACTACAGATATTGCCAAACCAGCCTTTGGCAGAAAGGAGAAGAGAAATACCCCCAAATTTTCTTCTGTCTGCCTCATGCTACAATTGCCAACCACTTCACAAATCCCTTTGGAAGCAGGAGACAAGGCAGCCACAGTTTTGCAGTCCCAGGTATGAAATGCACAGGGCAGAGCAAGGAAGACGTCATCATGACAGGTCAAGGGGAAATGCCCACCACTCACTCTTTTAAAGTCTACTCTCAACGCCATGGCAAGAGAGCATACTATCAGCCACCCTTCTGCTCAAGGCTGCCAATGAAAACCTTCCTTTTTGATTAGAAAGAAAAGGGGAGGTGCTGTGGGATATCGTTCTGTATACTGTGAATGTGTGTTGCTCTGATTGGTTGATAAATAAAATGCTGATTGGTCAGTAGCCAGGCAGGAAGTAAAGGCAAGATAAGCAGATAAGGAGAATTCTGGGAAGAGGAAGGCTGAGTCAGGAGTCGCCAGCCAAGGAGGAAGCAAGATGACAGGGCAGAACTGAGAAAAGGTATCAAGTCACATGGCTAAACATAAAAAGAATTATGGGTTAGCCGGGCAGTGGTGGCACATGCCTTTAATCCCAGCACTTGGGAGGCAGAGGCAGGCAGATCTCTTTGAGTTCAAGGCCAGCATGGACTACAGAGTGAGTTCCAGGAAAGGCCCAAAACTACACAAAGATACCCTGTCTTGAAAAAAAATTATGGGTTAAATTAATTGTAAGAGCTAGTCAGTAATAAGCCTGAGCTAATGGCTGAGCAGTTATAAATAATATTAAGCCTTGAACTGAAGTGTAACATTTAAGAGAAACTGCTATCATTAATGACATATTCATTATTTAAAAAATCATTTCACATGTATCTTATAAAAGTCCCTATTCTGGCCGGGCGGTGGTGGCGCACGCCTTTAATCCCAGCACTCGGGAGGCAGAGCCAGGCAGATCTCTGTGAGTTCGAGGCCAGCCTGGGCTACCAAGTGAGCTCCAGGAAAGGCGCAAAGCTACGCAGAGAAACCCTGTCTCGAAAAACCAAAAAAAAAAAAAAGTCCCTATTCTGGAAACTGCGGCTATACACATCCTTTTCCTGTTTGAATTGGCACTATGTTTAAGGAAGATAAATGGTTCTCACTTTAGTGTGAGTATTCATGAATTTTAGTTGCCAGAGTTTGAGTAACATTGGTTTACTAACACAAGACTCCAATTTCCCTTCATGCAGCAGATGTAGTGTTGTAGACTTCTAGAACTCAGTAGTTCCCTAGACATTAGCACAACTGATGCCATGATGGAAGTACCATTCAGGCCTTGGAACCCAGCATGTAGGCAGCTCCACCTGCCAAAATGAGATCAAAGACCGAATCTATCAATGTCCACAGTTCTGGGAAAGTCCCTAAATGTACTAATCTTGCTTTTTGGCTTCTATAGTTTGGCTTCTGGCTAAATTTCTTGTTGACTGTGGTGTGTCAACCCAGGATGTGGTTCTCATACTTAAAGGCTCACCAAGAAAAAGGCTTAGGACTGCACTCAGATCCCAAACACCCAGTGTAGCTGCCAGCTGGCTAATAAAGGATTCCTATTGGCTTGAACCATGCCTGAGTAGTCTTCTCTGGCAGATACCTCACAAATGTAGCGTAAGGAATTGCACAATGTTTAATCTTGAGTGCTGGCTCTTTACTTCACAGATCAACATACCAATTTAAAATGCTTATCACGGGCTGGGGAGATGGCTCAGGGGTTAAGAGCACTGGCTGTTCTTCCAGAGGTCCTGAGTTCAATTCCCAGCAACCACATAGTGGCTCACAACCATCTATGGTGAGATCTGGTGCCCTCTTCTGGCCTGCAGGCATACATGCAAGTAGGACACTGTATATATAAGAAATAAATAAATCTTTAAAAAAAATGCTTATCACTATCAGTGACCAATAATATCATTTCCTTAGTGCTGCTGGTAATAAACTAGTCTGAGTAGGCATCTTTCTCAATATTTACATACCCAGGAAGCTGATAATCCGGCCCCCCCCCCCCCCGTCACATCACTCAGTAATGAGCCCTCACAGTATTTCAAAAGTAAATAATTTATAAAATGGTATTGGCAAAAAAAGATGAAATTTCAGAGAAGAAGCAGGAAGAGCTGCTACTGTGGTAAGATGCCATCTCGACCAGAGAGGAGTTAGGGGGGTGAGCAGGTGGCAGTGGCGTGCTGGCACTGACCCCATTTGAGGACTCCACTTGGGCAGCCAGAGAATTTCATGTGGAACGTGGTGGTAGCAAAAGAAGGAAGATGGTAGCATTTAAAACTTGACGTTAAAGGAACTATTGGAGAGATCTCCCAGCACCCAAAGTACACACAAGGGATTAAGGGTTGACTGCTAATCCAAAACATATAGAGGATGATGATTAATAAGAGAGAAAAGATGCCTGCCTTACAGAGAAATTACATAAGAAATTCAAGGTATTCTTCATATGCTTTTCTCAATATACAAAAGACAAAACTCACAATGTCTACGATTTCAAAGTGCAGTGTACTAAGAATTGTTTTGTATTCCTCTTTATTTACTTACACATTTATTACTGACAGTGTGAAGGTTTTTAAGATTGATTTTATTTTTAAAAATTTTAATTATGTCTATATATGTGTAAATGTGTGTGCGTGTGTGTGTGTGTGTGTGTGTGTGTGTGTGTGTGTGTGTGTGTGTGTGTGTGTGTGTGTGTGTGTGTGTGTGTGTGTGTATTGTGTAGGTGCACAGGGAGTCCAGAAGAGGGAATGGATCCCTGGAGCTGAAGTTACAGTTATAAGCCATCTGGAAGTGGGTGCTGGGAACTGAACTCAGGTCCTTTGCAAGAACAGTACGCATTTTTAACTGCTGAGCCATGTCCCCGGGCTGGAAGGTTTTTAATGTTTGTAAAACGTCCTAAGGTTCATAAGGGGCTGAGATGGCTCTGTGGGTAAAGAGCCTGATGGGTAAGTGTGAGGACCTGAGTTGGTGTCACCAGAACTCACAGGCCATGATAGTGTGAGTATCTAAGACCAGTGCTCCTCCAGCAAAATTGGAGGCAGAGACCAGAGAATCCCTGGAAGACAGCAGGCCAGCTAGCCTATTATACATAGTCAGGAACAGGAAACCCTGTCTTGAGCAATGTCCAAGAAGAGGACCAACACCCAAAGTTGTCCTGCACACATGCACCATGGCATATGAACAACACATGCCTGAACTTACACATGTAAACACACACACACATACAAACACATATATTTTTTAAAAACTTACAAGACAATCACATTTGCTTCAAAGAATACACAGATGGATTCCACCAGTTTCAGTTTCTAACAACCCTGCTCTTCTATGCAGAGCCTCTATCTAGGGAAACACTGAAACTGGAGTGGGTAGAGGCTATACAATGGTCCACTGGGTGTGATATGGCTGAGCCTAGGGGAGACAAACCAACCGTGGACACAATACAGTGTTGTGCTGAAGTGGATTGCACTGAGAAATGACCAGATAGTATTCAAACTGTTAGTAGCCCCAAATTAACCACAGTGAGAGAATCTATATGAGAATAACATAAACATTACAAATAATTTTTCCCTCATTTTAGTCTCAGGTTCAAAACAGTTACCATTTCATCAATGGAAATAAGTACTTTCAGAGTCTTGATTACAGTGGGGAAGAAAAGAGAGAAAGCAAGACTGACTCAGCATCTCTGAACTGTCCCAGAACCTTGGGCAATAGGGATGAGAAGAATGTAGGTGACCGAAGAGATGACGTTCATTGCAGACAGGGTAGGGCGGTGGAATGGGCCTGGGGAATGGACCCACTGTATAAGGAAGAAGAATAACTTTCATTCCTAAGTTAGGTTGGGGTTTATTTGAGAACATCAACAAGGTTTAACAGTTTTGTTAGATAGGAATCCAGAAAATATTGTAGCTGTGGAGAGCATGGACTAGTATATGTAGTGACAGCCAACCCCATGGTGAGGGTAGAGAGACACCCTGATGTGCTAAGATTGGGTTTATTCCTCACATTTTAGGGAAGGTCCAGATCAGGGCCCAGAGCCCATTCCCAGGGCACCTGCTCCATACCATGGATCCAAACCCAGCTCTGGGGCATCAAGGCCTATGCAAAGGAACAACCAGATATTATAGGATAGTCACTGTCCTTGGAGGGAAGGCATTAGGAGGTAGCAGAAATTAAGGGGCCAATATGACAAAGGAAAGAGAGAGAAATGAGGAAATATGTCCCATTTAATCATTTTTCTATTATTTGTGAATTATCCCCCGAATTCTATGACATCCTTAGTGCTGCTCTACCTCTGTATGTCTCTTCTGTCTCCTTCCCAAGTCATGACCACCTTTCCTTGTCATTTCTTCTTGGTCACAAGCAATAGAAACATCCCTGAGAGCAGACCATCTATAATTTCTAAAAATGTAGATTCCCCTTGGCCCAGAGACCCCTAGCCATCTATTAATCTAGAGATGACCTCCAAGGAGACCATGACAGTCAGTGCTCCTTCAATCACCCCCAGTCCACTTCCTTCAGATCATCTAGGATGCTGTGAGTACTGTTGGCAAGCCCTTGACCTATCCCCTTCTGTATATCACACATACCCCCTGGGAGCTGGGAACTACTCAGGGTTTCATGAGACTCCTGAGTATACAGAGCAATGTGTGATACCTCCTCCAGACTCCATAAATCTCCGGCTGGCCTGGACAATCCTATGACAGTCCTTGGACCACCCTCCCGCAAACCTACAGTCAGATCTTCGGCTTCCTGTGGACATGGACAGCAGAGACAGCAACCATCTGCAGTACCATGGAGCTGAGGAGTAGAGCTATGAGAACATCTATGAGTAGCAGTAGATGATGCCTCGGTTCTGGAAAAAAGGGGGGACAGAATGAGTCATTGGAGAAGCAACCTGGGGCCTATTTCAGAGATGAGGACATCTTCCCTGTAAGCACGGATGTGTAACAATCTATATGGGTTTGGTGTCAATGTTAGGATTGAAAGTAGGCAACCATGCAGCTCCTGCCTACAGTCTTCCCCTCTGCCATGCTGGCATATGCCACTGTCAACGCTCTGACCCAGCACCACAGAAGGGACACTATGGGTCTCTTTCTTTGCTGAATGTGGGCTTTTACCAATACCTGGTCTGTGGGCAGGGGCTTCAGGTACCTGTTGCTCTCAGGAATGCAAGTGATAAAGGCCCCCACAGCTGAGCTCAAATCTACAGTTATTAAGGAAATGTCATGACTAAATTGGTAGCACCAGGCCCTCAATTGTTAGTGTGTCCACACATGGGCATCCCATCTCTTTTAAATTAACTCACAAATAATGCCGCTTGTTAATAGAAACCAAACACCTTCCCAGTCCGTACACTGCATGTCAGTGAACTTCTATACAGAGAGAACTCTCTTTCATGGCGATTCTGAAGTAGTGGGACTGTTAACAAGAAGTTCACTCAGGGCTCACACTGGTACCATCAGTTACATTTCTATACCAAAGTCATCGATCATTACAGCCAGTTTCCCATTTCTCTAGTTTGAACTTCTGAATTAGATGAATCAATCCCTTTGCAGTCTGCACTGCCTCAACACCTCATCCAAACTCTCATAGAGCTTGACATCATTGTTCTGAGTGCATGCCAGAAACTGTGATCTCAAGAAAGCAAGACCCATCAGACTCCTGCTCCAGCAGCTGGGCTCCCGAGGCTCCTGGTAAGTGATGTCCAACTTTGTGGGCTCAGCATTACCACCTCAACTGAACACTCCAGTGAGGGCATGATCCAGTGTGTGCCCACCACCTCACCACAGGGACCACAGCCACACTCACTGCAGTGGGTGCCATCTGAACCATCAGGCCTGGCTGTCATGGCACAGCATCAGGTGAGCCAACTGCAGATGACGAAGATGCTGCTGGAGGCTAAGTGGCTTTGGCTCCCAGAGGGCACCCTAAGTGTATACTTAGCTTCTAGAGATGACAAACTGTGAATTTCTTAACATATAAATGATCATATTTGAGCCATGAGTTCCTTGAAACCCTAAACAGACCAATAAGGAGTGGCAAGATTGAAAAAGTACTGAACAGTTTAATAGAAAGAAAAAATATTTGTCTACTGTGGTGATATTTTATATTTGTGTACCCCAATAAAGCTTATCTGGAGATCAGAGGGAAAAGTCAGCCACTATAGTAAACATAGAAGTCAGGCAATGGTAGCATGTAGCTAGAGTTTTCCTGTTCCTGCCTGGCCCACAGTCAGGACAAATCTCTCTCACCTGCCAGTCCCGCAGCTGCTCAGACCCAACTAAGTAAACACACAGAGACTTATATTTCTTATAAACTGTATGGCCGTGGCAGGCTTCTTGTTATCTAGTTCTTCTATCTTAAATTAACCCATTTCTATTAGTCTATAAGGTGCCATGTGGCTTGTGGCTTACTGATACCTTACATCTTGCTTGTCATGGCGGCAGCTGGCAGCATCTCTCTGCTTCAGTCTTCCACCTCCCAGCATTCTCCTCTCTGCTTGTCCCGCCTACACTTCCTGCCTGGCTACTGGCCAATTAGTGTTTTATTTATTAACCAATCAGAGCAACACATTTAACATACAGAACATCCCACAGCAGTAGCACACACTTTTAATCCTAGCATTTGGGAGGCAGAGATCCATCTGGATCTCTGTGAATTCAAGGCCACACTGGGAACAGAGCCAGGCATGGTGGCACATGCCTGTAATTCTAACACTAGTTAACCAAAAAGGTCTGGAGGTCTGTACAGACAGACAGAAAGTGACAGAGCTGGGCAGAAAGAGGAAGTGAGATGACAGGGACAGAAAGGCATATAGGCATGAGTATACAGGAAGTAGGTCTCTCTGGAGGCTGAGGAGTTGGTAAGGTGAGGTTGGCTGTAGCTTGTCCTATTCCTCTGATCTCTTAGTTTTAGCCCCAATATCTGGCTCTGGGTTTTGTTTTGTTTTTATTAATAAGACCATTTAGCCTTTCATCTTACAACTTCTCTCTTGCTGTGATAAAATACCATGACCAAGAGTGGTGATTTGAATGAAAATAGATTCATAGTTAGAGGCATTATTGGAGGTGTGCCTTGTTGGAGTAAGTGTGTCACTGGGGGTGGGCTTTGAGATTTCAGAATTTCAAGCCAGGCTCAGTGTCACTCTCTCTTCATGCTGCCTGCCAATCCAGATGTAGAACTCTCGGTTAGCTCTCTAGCACCATGTCTGCCTGCATACTGTCATGCTTTCTGCCATGACAATAATAAATTAAACCTCTGAACTGTAAGCCAGATCCAATTAAATGTTTTCCTTTATAAGGATTGCTATGGTTGTGGTGTCTCTTCACAGTAATAGAAACCCTAACTAAGACACCAAGGAAACTTATAGAAAAAAGAGTTTGTTTGGGCTTACAAGGAGGGAGAGTTCATAACTGGAGGTAGGCATAGCACCTGGTGGAAGCTAAAAGATCGTATCTTCAACTGCAAGAAGGAAAGAGGGAAATCAAAGCTGGAAGAGCGTAAAGCTATGAACTCTCAAAGCTCAGTGGCATACTTTCTCCAGCAAGGCTGCATATCCTAAACCTCCCCCCAAAAGTCCTAACAACTGAGAACCAAGTACTCAAATGCCCAAGCTTCTGGGGGACATTTCTCATTTAAACCACAACATACAAAATTAAAATATTTGTTCTGTATTTGTTATATACAGGGATTGGTGGTCTATAAACCGGAGAATTTAAAAACCATTTGTTACAGAAAAACCACATTTGTGAGACTGCACAGGACATAGTGTTCACATAAAACAGTAACATGTCAGAATTTATGTTTTACCCATCAAAGTACTATATTATTTTAATTCCATGAATGGGATTGTAGTTTTCTCAGTTTGTTTAGGTTCTCTAAAATTTTGGAATTTGGCTAAAATTGTTCACATTATGAAAATTCCATCATTCTCCAGGTATGGCAGTGCATACCTTCAATCTCAGGTCTCAGGAAGCTAAGGCAGTAAACTTCAACCTAAAAAACACACAGCCAGGGCTACACAGTGAGACAATGCATCAAAAAATTATATGAGTAAAAATACAGTGACAGGGTGACTTTGAACAATACAAAATATTAAACAAATTAAAAAGAAATGATTATGTCATTCTTTTGGATGGCAAAATCTTTTGCCTTCTGTTCATTTCTCATTTGCATTTTCTAATTGTTTTGCTGTGGTTTCATTTTAAAGAAGGAACTAAAAAGGAAGAAAATAAGACTCATTAGGTTATCCACACTGAGTGATCATTCCTAACAATATTTCGGAAATTTTAAAGTGTTATAAACATGGCTGGAAAGATAGCTCAGCAGTTGAGCACTTGTAAAGGACCCAAATTCAGGTCTAGAACCCACATGCAAAACACCCATACACATTCAAGTATTTGTTTTTAAGTATAGCTTTCATGGTACCAGAAGGTGCCATGGGAGCTTTCAAAAGAGGAAAGCAACCTATCATCCTAACCAGTTATGATGCCTATGAACTACAACAATGAGCATGTCACCCTCGGGGTGCAGTAGGGTCATGCAGACCTCGATGGTAACCAACAGCTCTCTAATTGGATTTAAGGCCTGGTCAACAAGAGAGAGATCATGCCTGGTACTGGAAATTACCAATTACCCAGGCCTAGTAAGGTCATAGATCCCAGAGGATACCCTAATACTGACATTTCTCTAAACCAGTATCATTACTAACTGCATTCTAAGTATCCTTATATCCACAGATAAATATAGCCTTTACTTCTCATTGAAGAAACTTCTCTTTACAACAGACAGATGATTACAAAAAACCACAATGGGTCAAATGGAGAGAACAAGTAATCACGTGGTACCCAACTCCAACTGATATATCTACAACCTAACTCCTACATGTTAAGGCCCAGAACATGAAGGGATGGGGGCCAGAGGATTTGAAGAGTGGGAGGAACAGGAAATCTGTTGTGGGATTGTGTTTCCTAGAAATGTCAGGGAAGCCACACCTACAAAGTCTCAACAGCATGGCGGCCTAGACAAGACCTGAATAAGGACAATAGTAATAGACATGCTAACATGGAGGAGGGAAACCTCACAGGGCCTCACCCATAGACAAAGAACTACAGGTAACAAGGAATGCTGGGTGCAGGAAAGATAGTCTTCCTTAGAAGAAGAGTCCCCCAACTGGTTACCTAATATCAAGTGGTGAGCCCTGAAAACATATACATACAAGTAACATCATACAAAAGGAGTAGGCTGTACTTCCATATTTAGGAATAGATGTGTACAACAATTAAAATTGGCCATGAATTTAAGAGAGAACAAGGTGGGTACATGGGAGGGATTGGAAGTAGGTAAAGGAAGGATGAAATGATGTAATTATATTTTAATTTCAAAAAGCAGAAAATAAAGCAAATTGAGCAAGCCACAGGGAGCAAAGCTGTATCAGCGATCCTCCATGATTTCTGCATCAGTTCCTGCCTCCAGGGTCCTGCTGTGAGTTCTGGCCTGACTTCTTTCATGATGGGCTGTAAGCTGTAACCTGAAATAAACCCTTCCTGTCTGCCTTATCCCTTAAAAATTTAGGTTCGGCTTTTGCCCTGGAACTAGGCAGCCACAGGGGTTAGCAGCAAGATTAAGGCTCTGGACCTTCAGGGCCAGGAGGACCAGCTGACAGAGCTGGAGGATCTAATGGCAGAGCCCTAGCTGCTCACTGATAAAGTGACAGAGGCCCCTACAAATCTCTCCAAGATCCGAGATGTCAGAGAATCTATCTCCTGTGTTAACCCAACTGTCTTAGTTAGGGTTTGCTGTGAAGCGACACTGTGACCACAGCAACCCTTATGAAGGAAAAAATTTGAGGTGGTGGCTTACAATTTAGAGGTTTAGTCCGTTATCATCATGGACGGGAGCATGGTGGTGTGTAGGCTGGTGCTGGCTACATCTTGATCAGAAGGCAACAGGAAGTGGACTGAGTGGACTGGGCATGGCTTGGGTATATATGAGACCTCAAAGTCCACCCCCACAGTGACACACTTCCTCCAACAAGGGCATAACTACTCCAATAAAGCCACACCTCCTAATAGTGCCACTCCCTATGAGCTTATGGGGGGCAATTACATTCAAACTACCACAGTGACCCAGAGGAAAAAACCACAGGAAGTCCTACAATGGCAAGAAGTGCAAGGCCGGGGGGCGGGGCAGGAGCTGCAGCCCTGGAGGACAGGAGCCATGTGCTGTCCCCTCCCCTTCACCAACCACAGAGCTAAAGCAGCAGCAGCTGTGGCAGGAGCTCTGAGCCCGCTGCACAAGGACTCTCCAGGCCCAAGGTGATAAAACACAAAACTCGCTGGAAAACAAGGGATAGGTTTGGATACCTGTAAATCACTCAAAACTTCCCTCTTCAGGGTTCCTCTGGGAAGCAACTATTGATTGTGGGGCTCCTCATAGCATGTGTCAAGCAAAGCAGAGTCTTCTTTACCATACACTTTCTGGCAGACTCTCCCTGTAAACCAAGGATCACTTTTATAACAGAAATTTACCACTGAGTTGTTTAATGCTTCATTGCACCGTGACCTTTCTTCACCCATTTCAAGTGTGCGGCCGGGGGTTGGAGAGACGGCTCAGCCGCTAAGCACTGGGCACTTTTTCAGAGGACCGGGCTGAGTTCAGTTCCCAGAATCTACATCAGGAGGCTCACAACTGCCTATTATGTTAACTCCAGCTCCAGGGGATCCTCGCCCTCTCCTGGCCTTCATGGGCAACTGCACATACCCACAAGTAAACACATACATATACATAATTAAAAATAAAACAAATCTTTAAAAAATAAATGTGCTGCTGAGGTAAGACAAAACAAAATATCCTTTAGACTGTGGTGAGAATGCTTATAATTTTGTATGCTTTGAAAAGACATTTATTATGTTTCAGAGAAACCTGGACACAGGTTACTTCAGCTTACGAGATCTGCAAAACAGCTGAAAACCAAACACATTTTTTACCTACTAAACCCAGATATTTTTACATGAGAAATACTACATATGGTGTGTAAGATATGATCACTTTTATAAACCTATTTTTGGACTTAACTGCTCACTTTATAATGTGTACTTCTTTACTGTATAAACTAAATATATCTTATTTATAGGTATGTCAACTCATTGTTTTTTCCCCCTGTAAACAGTATGGAAGCCCTCAACAGCTGATAACTGGGTCCCCTTGTCTTAGGATATTCTGTGTAGAATGTGTATTTTTTAAACCTGAGATGATCTTCCCACTGTAATTCTCAGCTTACTGATTATAATGGAGAAACACTTGTTTTGGTTTTGTTACGCTGGACTTAACCACAACTGCAATGTGAATTAATTACCCTGCTAAGTAAGAAGGTGTGTACCTTTTATTTGTTGCTCTTCACATTTGAATTTTTCCTTAGAGACAATATTATATTGACACCTTCTACAGATCTTACTGCAGCTTTTTCCATCCATGTAAATAAAATGTTTTTCTACTATACACATGTACACTCTGATAGACATGCCTTAATTCAATGCTGAGATAAGGGCTGGCAGAGGATGGACAAATGAGCAGGTTAGTTTCCTACGGGAATCATTTCCATGGTTAGAAGTCCATTCTGACTATATACACGGCTCAAAAAGGAAAGCATAAACCTCCCCACTTCCATTTCTTCTGCATTAGGCTTAAAATACTCACAGATGAAGAAACAAAGCTTCATGATTTGTCTCCATTTTCACTGCTAAATCTATAGTTTCTTCCACCATAGAAATCTATGAAAGAGTGCAAAGCAAATGAAATAAATTCAGTTTGAAAGTATATTTAACAAAATCTAAACGTAAATTGACCTGCCATGACTAATCTGCCATGAATCTGTTCATGGTGCAGTCAGACTTATTTCTGCCAGCACCATGAACAAACTTCCATCCCTTGCCTATCATTTATCAGAAGATGCCAAGGACAATAGTCTTCACCCTATTTCCTAGCAGTGAAGGATACTCAGGACTCTATCCATTCTGTCCATGAATGCTCAAAGCACTAAGTATGCTTTTCCCCAAAGTCTGGCTGTTACAAAGTTGGCCTTAACCTGGCACCTGAGAAACTGTTTTTCAGGAAGGTTCCAACCATTCACTCATAAGAATGGTGCACACCCTAAGCTGTGTGCACAATCAGTGTGGTTTATGTTAAATGCCTGCTTCTGTGTGAGTATGGATCATTGGTACCTACTATGAACAGGACATCTATGAGACAGATTTCCAATAAACTCTGAGTACTGCATTTCTTTATAATGTTCTTCACAGGTTCACATATCACAAAAGTTTTCAAAAATCACTGTCAGAGAAATTAAGCATGTTCTGTGAGATCTTGTAGGCTTGGCTCTCCTTTCCTCAGATAAACCACCTTCCATTCCTCTGTAATAAATCTTATCCAGGTCTAAACTGTGAGCTGAATCCTGTATATCCTGCTGGACAATCACCAGACCTGGTACCACTGTGGGAACTCCCACAGCATGGGAACCATGTGGTGTCTCCCCATCTTCTGGAGCTGGTCATCTTCCAGGCATTTCACTTTTATTGTTTGTTCCGTTGTCTTCCTAGAGATCATGGGCAAAGTGCATCATGCAGTGAGTTCTCCAGTGGGTCCAGATGTTAGGACAACTGCTCCAATCTTCTCCTCAAGTGATTTTGTTCAGTGTTTTTCTTTGGTTTAGATGACAGCCATGAATCGTTTAGTCCTTTTTCATTGGGTATTTCTGTAACATCTTCTAGTTTATTGCTAGCGAGTGATACGTGTTTTACTGGCTTCATTTTGTGATGAGCTTTGCTTCTAAATTATAGATGAAAAGTTTAATCCTTCCCTGTAAATAAAACATTAGAGGGTTCAAAAGAAAACTCTATACCATTTAATTCATCCACAGAAATGATATTCTGATTAAATTTACATAGTGTAACTTCGTATTGTTTTGACAATTCAGCAATTTGTTCAGAGTACATCAAGTTATTTATGGAGGCTATGATTATGCTTTTGGTTATTTTGATTTGCATTTACTTAAAACAATGAAAATTATACCAAGTTATTTAAATGTAAGAATGATAACCAGAATAGTGAAAGGTCCATCTATTTTAATCTAAATATGTCCTTTTATACATTCACATTTTATGTGTGATTAAACCACACCTACAGAAGTCAGTCAGTCAGCTGGTAAGGGTTAAGGTTAAAGTTGAAATTTTATTTTATTTATTTATTTGTTATCTATCTATCTATCTATCTATCTATCTATCTATCTATCTATCTATCTATGGTTTTTCAAGACAGGGTTTCTCTGTGTAGTTTTGGTGCCTGTCCTAGATCTCACTCTGTAGAACAGGCTGGCCTCAAACTCACAGAGATCCGCCTGGCTCTGTCTCCCAAGTGCTGGGATTAAAGGTATGTGCCACCCAGCTAAAGTTGGAATTTTAAAACACCTAAAAATCTTATTTTTTACTACATTGTCTGGCTTCCAAGTGTTGGTATATTTACGATAGGACATACAAATTTTGTATATGTAATAGGAGTAATAATGGAAAAGATTTCAGATTTAAATTACAGATTAATTATTGCTATGAAGATGGTGAATCCCAAAATTAACCCTGGAGGAATTTCAACATAAAGGAAACATTACTGTGACAGCTGAAAGCATTTTTAAGAGATAAACCAGAGGACCGAGTTGAGTGTTGTGCAAAACTGTCTTCCAGGCATAACATAAATGTGGTACTGTTAAACTCACAGCAACTGTAATGACATGCACATGGTTGACACATCAACATCCTACCATGGAGAGACAATTCCACACTTCTTGCTGAAGATTCAGAGGCAATTAATAGTTGTTAAAGGGAAGGGCTTAGGAGGCCACAACAGGCCCTGAGGATCTATAGGCAGTTAATGGTTCTGGGAGACGGAAATACATTTTCTTCAGTGATATGACCACTGGTTAAAGTCCCCAAGTTATAACAGCCTCTTACTTATTTTCCTTTAAGAAACTCTAATGAAACTCATTTGAATACAGACACACATGCTCAAACATAGGCATGGGGGGCACATGAATCTCTACCCTGAGGAGCAATTTACAGTTGACAGCTGCTGGGAGAGGGAGAGTCAGTTTTCTTTAGTGTGGTCCGTGGTAGGGTGAGCATGCTGCAGGGGTTGGCCCCACACCCACGTGTATAAGAGGAGCACAATTACACTCAATGATTATATAAAAAACATAGTAATAGGGGCTGGAGAAATGACTCAGCATCAATTAAGCGCACTTGCTGCTCTTCCAGAGGATGAGGGTCCAGTTCTCAGCACCCACACAGTGACTCACAACCATCTGTGAACTCCAGTTCCAGCAGATCTGACCTCTGTAGGCACTAGGCACACTTGTGCACACATGTATGTACATGCAGGCAAAACACCCACACACAAAATAATTTTTAAAAAAATCAGGTTAGGATGGGGGATGGAGGGAGAGAGTACTGAAAGTGACTACTGGAAAGAGGGGGAGCATTTAGCGGTCAGGTAAAAACCTGATGCAAGGGAATCTCCCAGGAATCTACAGAGATGACCCCAGCTAAGACTCCTAGCAATAAGTGGGTATGTAGCCTGAACTGACCACCTCCTGTGACCAGGCAAGACTTCTAGTGGAAGGAGTGGGAAACCAGCCCAGCCACATAACCTTCAACCTGTCCTGCCTGTGGGATGCGCTGGGGTAAAGATAACTATTGCTGTGGGATGTTCTGTATGCTGTGAATGTGTTGCTCTGATTGGTTGATAAATAAAATGCTGATTGACCAGTAGCCAGGTAGGAAGTATAAGTGGAATAAGCAGACAAGGAGAATTCTGGGAAGAGGAAGGCTGAGTTAGGAGACACCAGCCCACCATCCAGGGAGCAGCATGTAATGGCACACTGGTAAAGCCACAGAATACATGATGACATATAGATGAACAGAAATGGGCTGGATTTAAGTGTACGAGCTAGTCAATAGTTAGCCTGAGCTAATGGCCAAGTAGTTTTAATTAATATAAGCCTCTGTATGCTTATTTGGCTCTGAGTGGCTGCTGGCCAGCCAGGACAAAGAAAAACCTTCAGCTACAGCCTAGAGATTGAGGGAGCGGCCAGCTAATGACCGGTCTAGCCTAAAACCCATGCCAGGGGAGTAAAAACACCCATGACACTGCCTGGAGCACCAGGAACCAGAGGTTGGATGGTCCAGAGACCTAGGAGAGAACTAAACATGACTGGAGGAAAAAAAATGTCAATGTAATTATGCCTAAGGTTATTCTGCTATACACATAGATTGGTGCCTAGCCCAATTGTCTTCAGAGAGGCTTCACTCAGTAACTGATGGAAACAGATGCAGACCACAGCCAAACATTAGGAGGAGCTTGGGGTATCCTGAAGAAGAGGGGGAGAAAGGATTGTAGGAGCCAGAACCACAAGAAAACCCACAGAATCAACTAACCTGGGCACATAGGGGTTCACAGAGACTGAATCAGCAACCAGGGAGGTTGCATGGGACTGACCTAGGCACTATACATCTATGTTACAGTTGTGTAGCTTGGTCCTCTTGTGAGACACTCCTAACAGTGGGATTAGGGGCTGTCTCTGACTCTTTTACTGGCTTTTGGGACCTATTCATACTGGGTTGCCCTGACCAACCTTAAAACATGGAGAGGTGCTTAGTCGTATTGCAACTTGATATGCCATGTTTTGTTGATACTCATAGGAGACTCTTGTATAATATTAGAGGAACCAGCCTCAATATTATACATCCCAGGGGCTCAGGAGAGAGAACTACGAACGGCAAGGACTATTTTCAGGAAATAGAATCTCAGCACACCGAGCTCTATTGTCCACTTGCTTTAATTCCTCTGGCATAACATCCTTTATACACAGCTTCAGTTCTGTTCTCATGTCTAGCTCCTTTCTTGCCTGATTTCTCTCTATATATATCTACTGCTTCCTCTAAGTTCTATCTTAATTCTCTTGTCTTAACTCTGCCTCAACTAGGTCCTTTTCATCTTGTTCTTACCCAGCTAGTACTTCCCCATCTGACTCTTCCTCATCTTCCATCTCATTCCTCTAGTACTTTCTTCTAGCCCCTCAATCTAGTTCTTCCCCATCTCAGTTTGTTCCTCTCAAGTTCTTACCCGTCTAGTTCTTCCTTTTCTCTTCTCTCTCTTTTGTGCCCTGGAAGTCCCGGTATATAAAGGGAGGGTCTGAGCTAAATTGTGTAAAGCTATTACTTAATGTCTACCTGACCTAGGTGGTGTCTCCTTGTGGAATTTACCATAAGTCAGGAGACTTGTATGTGGGCTGTTATCACTGTTAGTCCTCAGAAATTGGGCGACCACCTGGGTGGTGTCTCCTTTAGTCCTTGAAAGTGGCTAGGGGAGATATCTGATTCCAGAGAAAGCCTTTCCTGAGGCTGTTCTCCAAATGCCTGGAATGTTTATGTCCAGAGAGTGATCAGTCCACACTGTTAGCCCTTCTTAGGGAAAAGTCAATTGAGAAAACTATGAAGGCACACATGATTTTCATAACAGAAGACAGCTGATATATAACAAGCCAAGTAACACCAAAAACTCCTTGGGATTTGGCTTCCTCTGGAGGAATTCCCTGATTCCTCCAGGTAGTGACTTTGCCATAACCAGCTGAGTTCTTATGATATATTCCTGTGACCCGAAGCAGGAGATCTGCCCTTTCCTAAACAGAAATGGAGGAGTAGTAGATTAGGGAGGCAGGGGCGGGGAGGGGCAGAACAGGGGGAAAGGGCTGGGAGGAGAGGAGGGAGGGGAAACTGCAGCCAGGATGTAAAATAAATTTAATTAAAAAAAAAAGAAAGTAAATATATCATAAAATTTAAAGTCAGATGCTGTGGGATGTTAATGTATGTCCTGTGGGAGCCCTTCTTGGGTTCCTTGTGGCGTTATCCAGCAGGTTTGCATAGAGGATGATTAGGACCATGGGCCTGAGTGCAGGTGTCTGAGATGGTCTGCACTTGGCTGTACTGGGGGATGGTCTGTATGTCAAGTTGCTCTGATTGGTCAATAAATAAAACCTGATTGGTCGTGGCTAGGCAGGAAGTATAGGCGGGACTAACAGAGGAGAAATAAAAGAACAGGAAGGCAAAAGGAGACGCTGCCAGCCACCGCCAGGACAAGCAGCATGTGAAGATGCTGGTAAACCACGAGCCACGTGGCAAGGTATAGATTTGTAGAAATGCGTTACTTTAAGATATAAGAACAATTGCCGGGCGGTGGTGGCGCACGCCTTTAATCCCAGCACTCGGGAGGCAGAGCCAGGCGGATCTCTGTGATTGAAAGGCACAAAGCTACACAGAGAAACCCTGTCTCGAAAAACCAAAAAAAAAAAAAAAAAAAAGATATAAGAACAATTAACAAGAAGCCTGCCACGGCCATACAGTTTGTAAGCAATATAAGTCTCTGTGTTTACTTGGTTGGGTCTGAGCGGCTGTGGGACTGGCGGGTGACAGAGATTTGTCCTGACTGTGGGCAAGGCAGGAAAACTCTAGCTACAGTCAGATGTGAGCTGAGCATAAAAGGAAGGTATTGAGAGGCAGGAAGTTTGCAGGCATGTGCATGGGCAAACACCAAAGGTCAACCTTGGGCGTTGTTTTTCAGGAGTCATTAACCTTGTTATTGTCCACCCTGTCTTCTGTGGCAGTCTCTCACTGGCACCTGGAAATCACCAACTTAGATAGAATGGCTAGCTAGATAGCTCCAGGGAAAACTGTCTCCCTCTCCCCAGGGCCAGGATAACCAGCACAAACTACTACACCCCGTCTTTACATAGGTGCTGGGAATCTGACTCAGGTCTTCACCCTCAAAAGCAAGGGCATCTTACCAACTTACTATGGTGATATTTTATTTGTACTGAAATGTGATTTTATTTGTATGTTAATAAATAAAGTTGCCTGGGGGTCAGAGCTAATAGTAAGCCATAGCGGAGCCGGGCGTTCGTGGTGCACGTCTTTAATCCCAGCACTTGGTAGGCGGAGCTAGGTAGATCTCTGTGTGTTCAATGATACAGCCAGCATGGAGACACATGCCTTTAATCTCAATACCAACCATAGAAGACCTGGAGGTCTGTATAGATGGGCAGTGACGAGGAGGTCATGTGGTTGGGTTTACAACCAATGAGAAGGCAAAACAGAAAGTCTATATAAAGACAAACACACAGGAAGTAGGTCTCTCTTGGCTGAAGAGGATCGCTGAAGCAGGAAGGGTAAGGCTCTTAGCTCTGACCTCTTGGGCTTTTATCTTTACATCGGCTCTGTGTTTCTTATTTAATAACACGGTTACATCTACAACTTATACAGCTCCTCAGGTCCAAAGCATTTTTATAGGAAAAGCTATTACAATTGTATGGTCTTTGTGGGTTGAATTGCATGCTCCTAAAAATGTGTTAAGCCCTAACTAACTCCAGAACCTGCTAGTGCAATCTTGTTTGGAATTAGGGTTGTATTAGTTACTTTGCACAGTTGGGATAAATTCCTGATAAAAGTAACATAGGAGATGACTTCATTATTTTGACTTCCTATACCAGTGTTCACACTTACTTGGCCATGTGAGCTTGAGCACAAGGTCGTGGTGGCAGCAGAGTACAGTAGACAGCAGCTGTTCACACACATTGCCGTGGTCCAAGAAGCAGAGGCAGCCTATAAGATACTTCCATGGGTCATGACCAACAAGAGCCACCCTCCCTTGTCCTGAACTTTCCAGAATCTCCCAAAATAGCAAGGCTGGAGAGAAGACCAAACAAGAATTCATGAGTCAGTGGGGACACTTCAGATTCAAACCATAATAAGGATCTCTGCAGATGCAATCAGTTGAGTTCATGAGATAGAGTGGTCTTTAATCCAGGGACTTTCATATACAAAGTAAAAAGCAGAGACACACAGGAGGATTCGATGGGAAGACAGGCAGATGTTGTAGTGGTGGTGAGTCTACAAACTGGGATTGCCAACCAACATCAGAAGGTAAGAGGGAAATACATACTAAGAGCTTCCAGAGTATCCAACTCTAAGAAAATCTTGATTTTCAACTCTTAAAACGCCAGTCGGTGAGACAGTAAATGTGTTTTAGCCCACCAAGTATGTTACAGGAGTCCTAGGACTCTCACTGTCTCCCTTCCTCCACTCCACCCCACTCCCGCCATGGATATGACTCGTGGGAAAATTGCTGGGATAGCCTTTAGTAATAAAGATTTTTAAAAACATGAGGTGACCTGCTTCGGAAAGGTACAAAAATATATAACAGGCAGGCGAAGCTGTTAGCTGTTTCACAAAGTAAGTAAGTAAAGGAGACAGAACTACACTGTCTATACCTGGTTTAAGAAACTAAGGAGTGCATCCCGGAACTTCACATTACAAAAAGGGGGGGGTCTCCCTGAAGCGAATACTTGTATTAGGTAGAAAGCAATTAAAGATTTTAGACAGTTACTGAATTTAACCCCTTTTCACCTGAAATAACATCCCAGAGCCCACAATCCTCCACGCCCAAGCAGTAGCACCGCCCACCAACTGCGATTGTCAACTGCTCCACCCAGAGACCGTTGCTGCCTTGTGCAATGCCCGCCCACTTCTTTACCCAGAAGCCTTTGGGCCCCAGGCAGCGGCAGGGACAGAAGGCACACACTGCATCGCAGGAAAGAATAATGTAATCACTTCAGGCAGAAACACTCCACCTTGAGGTGGCAGCGAGCACACCGCGGAGCCTCAGTTTTCCCAGAGGAGGAAGTGGAATTGCCGTGATGGCTTCCTGAAAACCTTAAGTGACTTGGAATAAAGTTCCTGCCCCCATCAAGAAGAGCTGTGTATTCCAAAGTTCTCCAGAATTCTCTCGGAATTCAGATGTGTCCATTGCTCAGCTATTTAGGATCTAGGAAAGAGGGAGTTCGCCTGTGATAGAAAATGAAATATTGGCCGGGCGGTGGTGGCGCACGCCTTTAATCCCAGCACTCAGGAGGCAGAGGCAGGTGGATCTTTGTGAGTTCCAGGCCAGCCTGGTCTACAGAGCGAGATCCAGGAAAGGCACAAAGCTACACAGAGAAACCCTGTCTCGAAAAACCAAAAAAATGAAATATTGGCAATCTAGTACAGAAAACGAAGTCTAAAGTTCCTACGGTGTCTCTGGATACGCTGGGGCACAGATAAACAGCTGAACACAATGAATTATGTCCAATCAGCACTTTCTTCAGACGAAAACTTAGTTTATTGAAAGCAGATTTCCCAAACTGTCCAGGTATAGTCTTTATTCTCAGAAAGGTTTGGAAGATCCAGACATTATTATTATCGATTATCATAAACACACTGGTTTGGAATCCTGTTAATATTGACTGCATACAAACACTTGAAGACAAAGACTGCTGTCACAGCATACTGTGGGGCCAGAATCTTGGGGTAACATTCTAGGTTGTCCACTGAGCAGTTGTATGGGCACAGACAAGGGAACTGGCCTGTCTTGCCTGGCTCTTCTTTATAACACCTAAATGTAATCTAACTCTAATGATGTTACACAGTGATTAGAGTAATGCCTCACACCTGTATGGTAGGCCCTGGGAAAGCTAATTCATTTTTTAAAAATGAATTTCCCTAGCCGGGCGGTGGTGGCAGCAGCGGCGGCGGCAGTGGCGGCGGCGGCGGCGGCGGCGGCGGCGGCGGCGGCGGCGCAAGCCTTTAATCCCAGCACTCGGGAGGCAGAGCCAGGCGGATCTCTGTGAGTTCGAGGCCAGCCTGGGCTACCAAGTGAGTTCCAGGAAAGGCACAAAGCTACACAGAGAAACCCTGTCTCGAAAAACCAAAAAAAAAAAAGAATTTCCCTCTTTAGTTAAAATATATATACAAATAAACATATAAGTGCAAGCTGCTGAGTCCATTTAGTGTTACTCATATGTACATGATTTTAGGGCTGACCACACTGGTACTGAATATCCATTAGAAGATCATCCCTGGAGAATACTGATTTTCCCTCTCTGGCAGTCATTAACTGCCTCTAATTCTTCATCTAGAGACTTTGTGAGAGTACCCTCATCCATGCTGGCACATGGACTGATGGTGTCATCATTCAGATCTTGTCTAGGCAACCATATTGTTGAGAGTTCACGGGCAGAGATTCCTAGAAGATATACTCTTGCAGCATGTAGCAAAAAATAAAAAAAAAAGAGTCCATGAATTCGAGAGGGGAGACACATAAATATGGAAACTACATAAGTATGGTATACATTCATGAATTAAAAAATAATAAAGGCAAAAGATTTTCCCTCACATGAGGATTTAGTGGAATGTTTTCCAAATGGATTTTAGTGCCAATAAAATATATTTTTATGGAAAGGGCAATAAAAAGACCCTCTGTTTTCATTTTATCAAATAGTGCACATAACATTGTTTCTTTTGTTCTGACTGACAGAAAGTTTCATCTAAATTTATTTATGATATTATTAGTAGTGTTATTCTCTGCCCCTTCATGTTACTCTTTCCATTCAGAATTGAATGTCCTTGTAGAGAAAACACTGTTTTTAAATAGCCTATAAACTTTATTAGTAGTAGAAATAATGACAAATCCAGACTTTTTATATAAAAGACAATAGCTTAGATATTCTTAATATTTTACACATTTAATGCTTGCCTAAAGGATTTTATGGGACATCTAATAAAAAATTGTTAAAAATACTTCACTAAAAATACATTATAAAATGTATGTTGATGCCTTTAAGTGAAAAGTATCTTCTGGTATGTAGAAAGGGGAATAAGAAAGAAATGTCTGTGGTCAAAGTCCACACTTACACCCGAAAATACTATAATGAATTCTTTTACTTTGTATAATTAATACTACACAAAACTCTGGCCCCAGCTCTTTCTAGATGCGTGCCTTCAAATACGTTGCTTCTCCTCTCCCAGTGTTGGGTCTTCTTGTCCATGAAATGAGGCCACAAGGATGGATTGGGCAATTTTACCTGCCTACTGAAGCACACAGATGCTCAGCAAACTCACATCTATTCCCATAGTTACCATCGCCTCCCTTTTGTGAAATCACAGCTGGACTAAAAATGGTTCTTCTTGTTTTCCTCTTTGCTTGTTTCTGGAGCTGAAGGAGAATTTTTGAAGCCCATGTGGCTCTTTGGAAATCCCTCTTCCAGCCAGCTTGCTCTGACTCCCTTTGTCTTTCTGTGCATTACTCATACATGGCTATAGTGTCTCTGTTCTGTCATAAAAGGAACAAATTTTTCCATTTTATTTCCTCAGTGTGAGGCCTCCTGCAAAGATCACAGTCCAATTTCAACTTATGGTCCAATATAAAGGCATAGGAAGCATCTCCTCCTGTCTGAAAATGGAAAACTGTGGTAAGAAGGGTAGAGTCAGGGAGATACCATCCAGCTACCCAAGGAACAAGATGCCAGCAGACCAGTAATGCCATGGCCACATGGCAAAATATAGATTAATAGAAATGGCTTAATTTAAGATGTCAGAGCTAGCTAGCAATAAGCCTGAGCCATAGACCAGACAGTTTGTAATAATAAGCCTCTACATGTTTTCTTGGGACTGAGCAGCTGTGGGACACAGGCAAACTTGCGGCTACATAAGTGGGTTCCTGAAAGTCCTTGGGGAGCAAGAAGGGTCCCGACATCTGTCTGGAGCCCTCACTGCTTCTGGCCCTCACATAGGTCTGAAGGACATTGCAAGGCCCAAGGAAGGGCAATTATGCAGTTCCTGGAAAATGCTATTGTCAGGTGAGACAGTGAAAATGGTTAGCACACACATTCCTTGGCCCACATGGTGAAGGTAGTAGTTGCTTCCTGTGTGAGTTCCCTGGGCCCTCTCCCACCCTGAGCCTCTCCTGCTGGCCCAAATTGACTCTGATGGTCACAAAATCCTTTGTGACCTTGGAGATATATCCAGAATCAACCCAGAAGAGGGAGGTTTGTAGAAGGACAAGGCCAATGGAACAGACATTTTGGGTGATCTGCCCTCCTGACAGTGACTTATATTCACTCAGCACTATGGGGAGTATAAGGGTACTGTTACAATGTTTCTGGAGTTTAATCTCTGGCCCTTACCCTGCTCAGCCCTTCCAAGTTAGGTGAGTGGGTCAGCGGACGCCATCTTCCCCCTTCTAACCATTTAGTCTGTGTGGTAGTTGGCCTTCCCTGAAGCTATCTACATACTTTCCCTCACCACATTGTTATAAATGTAGATGTGATCCAAGTGGGATTAGGACAGGTAAGAAAACATTGCATCACTCAGGGGACACCAAGGGATGAAGGGGACTCGGTAACTGGGACAAGGAACAAACACATGATACAAGCAGTCACCCAGTATTATAAATTACCAGACCTTTCCATAAATTAATAACACGGAGTGGAAATAAGACTCTTACAGTATGGAGTCAGTCTCAAGCAATGATCGATCCAGTGTGACTGGAACCAGTGTTTCAACTGGACAGGAGACCTTGTGGCAAAGACTCTGCCCATGACACTTCTGTCATCAGCACTTCCTTTCCCAGGGGCCTCTTCAGCCATATCTTCTGCCAGATACCTAGATGCCAGCCTTGGCACCAGTTGCTAGATGGTGGATGCCTCTGGTCCCACGTAGGTGTGTTAAATGAATGATGCTTTCTATTTGGGCTACTCCAGTGTAGTGCTATAGCCTTTGGATTTGAGTCCTCATTGTTAGCCCCATGCTTTCACCATCCACCTAACTAAGACACCAACCAATACCTGGTAACACAAAGTCAAACAAACCTATCTGTTAGGACTGATTACATAGACGGCTATGCCTTGTCTAGGTTTAGATCTGTCACTAAAGCAAAGAACACTCCATATGCACATTAGAAGACCTGCTTCAACTCTGTAAGATTCAAGTGCCCATCAGCGGCTTCTTCTACATTTATTATGACATTTGACACAACTACAAAAAGTAACTCCACATAATGCATTCATAATTTTGGCTGACTTCTAGCCTAAGAGAACTCAACTGATTCGCTACCACTGTATCCATGGGAGGTAGTGCTAGCCTGAGTGAACACAATTGATTCCCTACCACTGTATATTAGAGGTAGTCTATTAGAAGAGGCATACTTTGGAGAAATTGCATGAACTTATTCTCCCCAGTAGCAAGGGGATTTCAACTGTGACCCTGCTCCACAAAATACAGAAACTGTAGGTAGTGATGTTACTCAACTCTGTCACTGTAAGGCAAAAGCAGAAATATACTACACATAAAGAATTATTAAATTAAACAAATTAATAATGTTGCATGTCAATTATTAAAAACCCAAGATGAGTTAAATTTATTTCAACAAATGGGAAGTTCTATGGCCAGGCAAAACATCAGATGAAAGCTGGTTCAACTGGTTCCTTATGTACACAAAACAGCTCAAAGTTAAATGAAAAGACTTTTATAGCCAATGAAAAAACAATGGTATACAGGAATAATCTGATTGGCTGAAGTCAGCATTTACCTTATATAATTATGTTTCGGCAGTTTCAGCCTGACTGGCTGGAGGCTCAGCTGTTTTGTAGTATTTATTTTTGTATGTATTACCCAGGTAGGGTACAGTTCACTATGAACAGAAGCCACTTTTAGCTGGTATCATTCAAGAATAAACAGGTCCTAGTCAAAGTTAATTCAAGCCAGATGTGGTGGTGTATACCTTTAGAACTAGCAGTTGGGAGACAGAGGCAAACTGATCACTGTAAATTTGAGGCCAGCTTAGTCTGTCTACATAGATAGTTCCAGACCAGCCGGTTACACAATGAGACACTGTCTCAAAAACCTAAGAAAAGAAAGAAAGTTAATTCAACACACTAAAGTTATGGACAATCAAACTTGAATTTCATCAATTTTCATGTCATAAAATACTTCCTGCTTTCTTCGAACAACTTAGAATGTAAGAACCTCTCCTAGTTGCAAGCTCAACAACATCAGGTCTGTAGCATTGACAGACCCAACAAATCATTCTGCTTACAGATGGTGGCCCCAAATTTCATTAATCAAAAAGGATTAGAAGTTGATTTCAACTACCACATGGCAAACCTTGTTATTGCCCTTGTGGGGATGGGTGGTGGCGATTAACAGTCTGTTAGTTTCCTTGCCCTCTTGTTATAGCCAGAAAACCATGCAATTAATAGGACTGCAAGGTTTCAGGGAAATGAATAAAAGCGGGGAGAAATGAGCTGCAGAAATGGTTCGATGACTAAGAACTCACACTGCTCTTGAAGAGGACCCAAGTTCAGTTCCCAGCACCCACAGTGAACAGCTCGCTATCCGGTCTTCTGCAAGCACTTGCGCTCATGTGCACACGAACACAAATACACATAGGGAAAAAAAAAAAACCTTAAAAATGGGAAAACCATTCACTTGATACTGTAAAGCTTCCCATGTCTCTTTAGACACAGCTGTCAAGGGTTCAAGCATTTTTCAGAGGATGTTCTGGTGCAGACCCCAGCCTCAACATGCTATGGACAGGAAGTAAAGCGCTGAGGACATCAGGCAGCAGGGTTCCAAGGCTGGAAAGCGCAGCATGGATTACAGGCTACCCAGCACACCCTCGTATCCCCTGGTGATCCAGCTCGTGACGGTGACTGTGCAGTCACCAAAGACAGACCAGCCAAGTGCCTGGAGAGTTCCTCCAGTGCGGTTCGGACGTCCTTTTCAGCCCATACCGCAGAGGAAGGAAAGCAAGCCCACCAAGCCATTAAAAGTGAGACCCGCGCTTCTAACCATCCACCCACCCATCAGCAAGAATCCATAACGCGCTCGCACCCATCTCGCGCACGCGCACCGCCTACAAAACCGAGCCTCTCCGAGTCTTGCGTAATCCCCCGGCTCTCACATGCTCAGGTATGGAGAGCATCTCGCGGTAGTTCCACAGAGGCCCCGGCGTTTCAGGGGAGTCAGGTGACCCCCGCGACTCCGCCCAGCTGCTCTTGGCCGGCCTCGCGCGTGCGCGGTGCGGCGGCGGCGGCGGCTCGCGGGCGGCTTGAGCGGCCGAGGCGATGGGGCTGAGTCGTGTGCGCGCGGTCTTCTTTGACCTGGACAACACGCTCATCGACACGGCAGGGGCGAGCCGGAGAGGCATGTTGGAGGTAACGTCCCCGCGCCGTCGCCCTCCCCTGCCGTCCGGTCCGCTCCGCATGCCCTGCCGGAGCTGCCTTCCCGCGCGCGCGGGGCTGGGTGCTGGACTCTGAACTGCCACGACTGCAGCAGAGTCGCCGCCACCTGCGGTCACCCGGGCTCGGGCGGCGCAGGACGGGACCGCGCGCCCGACCCCTGCCGCAGTCCCGCGCGGGATGGGCTGCGGTGGGTTTCGGGGGGAAAGAGGCTCAGACAAGGTTTTAGCCCAGGAAGTTACATAACTCTGAGAGACGGGCCTGGACTTAACCTGCATCAGAGTGGGTTTTGTTTGTTTGTTTGTTTGTTTTTTCCTGCAAGCCTCTCTCTGGCCTTCCGGGCTTTCTGGTGTTGAGACCCTCGGGACATAAAATGCCGAGAGGGCATTCTTTTAGTGAGGCATTGCTGATCTGCATCCTCCTTCCTCTAGCTGCAGATGCTGTCGGACATCGTCCTCGTCTTCTCCAGCCCTTAACCCACCCCTACTTTACTTCCTCTGCCTTTGCTTCAAGGAGAAACCGAAGGACTATCAGATGTGGAAAACACACTAACAAAAGCCAGCCCTTTCAATACCAAGGGTCCTATGCCTCATCAGGTAGTTTTTGTTTATCCGGATCTTAAACCTTTTCCATTTCTTGCCGCAGTTCACACACGCAGTTCATGTCTGTCTCATACTTTTACCTTTTTTACACAACACCTCCCTTGGACTGTGCTTTTCTGCACAGCTACGTTTTTAGGAAAATCTACACCCATTATCTCCGTCAGGTCTCTCCTCTATGTATTTCTAAATCCATTGGCAGGTAGCTTCTGTCTCTACCATTAGAAGACGATAGGCTTGCTAAGTGGTTAGGTTGCTCCCAAAGTGCCAACGTCACTAGGTATTTTGAATTGGTTTGGGGTCATGTGTGTGTGTGTGTTTTCTTGGTTCTGAGGTTTGAACCTATGGCCTTGCTATCCTAAACAAGAGTTTTCCACTGAGCTATTTCTCCCCACACTTGGAGTCAGTCTTAACTGAAGTTTTCCACGCTGTTGTTTGCCTCTTGCATTTTGACACCCTCTCAATTATCTCTGCCTGCAGACCGTGCATACTTAACCTGTGTTCTTATCCAGCTCGGCCGAGTGTTTGGAAACTCGGGTTTTGTTTTGGGCTGTTTCTTGTCATAGGCCTCTAAAATCGTACATTTCGTCTAAATCACAGTTCTCCCAGTAACAAGTACCTCAGCAGGTTCCCTGTCCATGCTTAGCCTCAGATCCTTGTAAAATTTGAGTATTAGGCTGTGTAACGCTGTCAGGTAGTTTTAATACAATACATAGGAAGAATGTAGCGCCCAGTTCTCACTTAATGAACTGTGTCCTCATGCACTCTTGCCTTAATGACAGGCTCAACCTATGTAGATTTTTGCGGTGGTCTTGTCTCCAGGCTGACCACATCCAATTCATCTCCACTTTCCTACCATGGTGAGCTTTTTTGTTTTTTGTATTTTTAAAACAAAAACTTACTTGGGAGACTAAGGCGAGAACATCACTTCAGCCCCAGAATTTGAGATCAATCTAGGTGACATAGTGAGACTCCTATCTCAAAGCAACACCACCAACCCACTATAGTTCTCCATGGTGTTAACACCATATTTTTTTTCTTGTGGTATCTCTTATTGCACCTGCCAGAGAATGTTATCAGTTTTTGCAGCTCATGCCTATGACCGAATCCTGAGTTTACTGAAAGGAATTATGCTGTCGTAATTATCTTTGTTTGACATGTAGTAAATGCTGAATGAATCCTGGATGGTGGACAAAAATTCAAATCTCCAGTCTTGGTTCTTTTACCACCTCGAAATACCACCTGAAATTAGCAAAATTAAATGTTGTGTAGATTTTATCTTAAAAGGTTGTAACATTCCTTATAAATTTTTACCTATTCTAAAATAATATGGCAGCTGTCATAAGCTATTCCGAATGATTTATGAAGGGCTAAGAAACCATCTGGCCTTTGCTTTGGGAAGGAGTATTTTAACTTTACTTTTTATTTTTTTAAATTTTTTTCTTTTTCTTTTTTTTTTTTTTTTCAAGATAGGGTTTCATTGTGTAGCTTTGTGCCTTTCCTGGATCTCTCTCTGTAGACCAGGCTGGCCTGGAACTCACAAAGATCTGCCTGCCTCTGCCTCCCAAGTGCTGGGATTAAAGGCGTGCGCCACCACCGCCCTGCTGTGGGATGTTCTGTATGTCCTGTGGGAGCCCGTTCTTGGGTTCCTCGTGGCTTTACCCAGCAGGTCCGCATAGAGGATGATTAGGACCACAGGCCTGAGTGCAGGTGTCTGAGATGGTCTGCACTTGGCTGTGCTGGGGGATAGTCTGTATGTCAGATTGCTCTGAATTGGTCAATAAATAAAACCTGATTGGCCGTGGCTAGGCAGGAAGTATAGGCGGGACTAACAGAGAGGAGAAATAAAAGAACAGGAAGGCAGAAGGAGTCACTGCCAGCCGCCCGCCAGGACAAGCAGCATGTGAAAATGCCGGTAAGCTACGAGCCACATGGCAAGGTATAAATTTGTGGAAATGGATTAATTTAAGCTATAAGAACAGTTAGCAAGAAGCCTGCCACGGCCATACAGTTTGTAAGAAATATAAGTCTCTGTGTTTACTTTTTTGGGTCTGAGCAACTGTGGGACTGGTGGGTGACAAAGATTTGTCCTGACTGTGGGCAAGGCAGGAAAACTCTAGCTACACCACCCGGCAACTTTACTTTTTAAAGAGTCATTTGGTTAAGTTCTTTCTATTCTCTTTAAGCATATGTCTTAGTTACTGTACTGTGGCTGTGACAAAACCATGACCAAAGCAGCTTGCAAGGGGAAGCATTTAAGTCAGAGCTTACTTAACGTTTTAGAAGGCTAGTCTGTCATGGTGGGAAGCATGGTAGCAGGCATGCATGATGCTGGAGCAGTAGCTGAGAGCTCTCATCTGACCTGCAAGTTGGAGGCAGAGAGCAAGACTGGGCCTGGCTTTGAAAACTCAAAAGCCCACCCCCAATGACACACCTCCAACAATACCACCCCTCCTAATCCTTCTTAAATGGTTATCAAACAGTCAAATACAACACTACAGCATGCTTTTATAGTCAAGAAGAAACATGCATAAATGTATAGTTTCTTATTGAACAGTGTAACTGGAATCCTAATTGGTCTTAATAATAAAAACCTGAAGCCAGATATCAGGGTAAATGCTGAAAGATTAGAGAGACAAAGGAACAAGCCACAGCCACCTCTTACCAACTCCTCAGCCTCAAAGGGCTGAGCTCCTTCCTGGCTCTGCCCACCTTATATTTCTCTCGCTGCCCAACCTTATCACTTCCTGTTTCCTCCTCCCTAGTGCTAGGATTAAAGGCGTGTGCCTCCCAAGTACTGGGATCAAAGGCATGATGAGATTCCAAGTGCTGGGATTAAAGGTGTGTGCTCCACTGCCTGGCCTCTAAGGTTAGCTAGTGGCTAGCTCTGCACTCTGATGTCCAGTCATGCTTTATTTGCTAGAGCACAAACAAAATATCACCACAGAACAGATTAAAAAAAATCATTTGTAAATTAAATGTCTGATTGAAATAACTGAACATGATAAATGCACTTACAGGTATGTTAGAAAAAGTAGAGAGAGCAGTGTGTTGTATTTTTAAGGTAGATTCATCACATTTGGCCTTAGTGAGTAGATGATGTTTGACTTAACTAGAAATAACAAGGACTATCTGGGCTGAGGATGTAGTTCATTTGGTAGAATGCTTGCCTAATTTCCACAAATCCCTGTCATGATGTAGAGGCAGAAGAATCAGAAATTCAAGGTCATTCCTCTGATACAAAGAGAGTTTGAGACCAGCCTGGACTACATAAGATTCTGTCTCTAAAACATTTTTTTAAAAAAATGGGGAAAACAAAAAACAAAACAAAAACAGGTGGAGGGGCTGGAGAGATGGCTCAGGGGTTAACACTGGCTGCTCCTCCAAAGGACCTGAGTTTATATCTCAGCCATGTTGGATGACTCACAACCACCTGTAACTCCAGCTTCCGGGGATTTGATGCTTTTTGGCTCCATGGGCAGCCTAACAACACATGTGGCAGACATGCATACATACAGCTACATAAAAGTAAATCTTAAAAAAATTGTAACAAAAGTCATTTAAACTTCTGGGCTGTTTAGCAGTCAGTGTGTGTGTGTGTGTGCGTGTTAATTTAGCCCCTTCACATTCAAATGACAGGCATTCAGAAAATACTTTGTTAAAGTGTTATTGTTCTATCATTCCCAAACTAATCCTCAGAGAGTCTTGTCAGATAAGTTAGCTTGACTCTTATTGTGACAGTGACTTTAGTTCCAGGTCTGGGGAGTGGAAAGTAGGAAAGGTCTTTCTTTTCATAGATGTTCAGAGTGCTAGAGTTTTTAAGTGAATTCTTTTTAATCTAGACTGATGCCTGCTCTCTCGATGTTATAGGGCTCCTGTCTTCAGGCCGTCAGTTACCTGGGGCATTCATTACCTCAGTTCTTTCTAAGCTGTCACCCCAAGTACAAAATGTCCTTACAACTTCAAGTTAGAGGCCTTTGTCCTCCACTTCCAATTGAGCCCCCACTTACTTTCAGTGAGGGGCTAGGAGAGTTTGTAATAACAGGTGCTGATTCAACTTAAGCAGTATTTCTGTTTGAACTAGTAATATATGGGTGACTGATAAACATTTTTTCTAAAGATGTTAATATTTTTATGTGCATGGGTGTATGTTCATGAGTGTGCATACACATGTGTGTTCGATGTGGGGGCTGGAAGAGAACCTCTCATGTGTCATCCTCAAGAACACTATCTGCCTCCTTTGTGACAGGCTCTCTTGGACTGAAGCTCACCAGTTAGATTAGCCTGGCTGGCTAGTGAGCCTCTGGATCTTCCTGACTGGACTTCTAGTGCTGGGGTTGCAAGCACTTGTGATTACTCAGCATTCTTCCATGAGTTCTAGAGATTGAACTCAGGTCTCCGCACTTAGAAGGTGCTTTGCCCACTTTGCTATCCCTCAGCTCAAGATATATGGCAATTAGAATAAGAATGCCCGCCCTCCCCATATTTGAATGCTTAGTCATCAGGGAGCAACATGATTTTAGAAAGCTTAGGAGGTGTGACCTTGCTGGTGTAGGTATGTCCTTGTTGGAGGAAGTGTGTCATGGGGTGGGCTTTGAGGCTTCAAAAGCCCATGCTAGGCCAGCATCTCAGCCTGCAGGTCAGAATGTGGCTCTCAGCTCCAACATCAGTCCTGTCTGATTCCCACCATGAGGATAATGGATTAAATGCTTTCCTTTATAAGAGTTGCCTTGGTCGTGGTTTCTCTTCACAGCAGTAGAATAGTGACTAAGATGTTAATATGATTAAAATGATATTGTCATAATAAACAAATCTGATAAGTTGCTGTGTAGCAGTAATGGTGTGACTAATGGGAAAATTAATTACAGATATGATTAGGAAAGGTATGGAACTTAGGGGAAGAGAGTGGTGTGCTTTTGGAGGCCCTTGACCCTGCATTTTGCAGAATTTCAGAAGTCAGGTTACTGTGCTGCCAGCTGTAATAATGGGATGTGGATCGTTGTTGCTTTCTACTCTCTCAACCAGGCCTGTGTCGCTTGACCATGTCGCAGTGGGCTGCTGCAACTTTAGAGTGCTCTTTGCATACAGCTGAAGAGTAATTGAGGTCCACACTGTTTTTGTTTTAAGATGGTGGCACAACCATGGAGTTGAAAAGGCTAATTGTTTGTGTTTTGCCTTTGCCTTAAATTTTTAGGACTGATGTATTTTTCTTGATGAATAAGACTTTTTTAACTTTTCTTCTTGCAAACTGGGGCAGGAGGATCACTGTAAGTTCAAGACCAGCCTGGGCTACAGAGTGAGAAAGCTTGTTTACACAGATAGCCCAAAATACTTCCTTTTCCTCTGTTAGAAGGAATTCTTATACTCTTTAAGAGAAGAAACTGTTTTGTTAATACCTTTCTCCTTTTCAGTATGTAGTTTTGGAGTGAGCAGCATACCACTTGCCCCTTGTCCATTTGTCTTATTGGACTGCTTTGCTTCAACAGACATGGTTATTTGATGGTCGTTCAGGAAAGGGCTTTATGCATGTTAGGCCCATGTTCGGCTGCTGAGCGGCACTCCCAGCCATCATAGCACAATGCCTTGCACTTGTTTCTGAAGATCAATATTTACCTTGGTATGACAGACTTTAGAAGCACATCCTTCAGTATAGTAGTTCATTGGAAGGGTGTGGGAAATAAGAGTAGGGTGGCCATTATGAACTTTATCATGATCAGGTGATTGCTGGTATGAGACACCAGTCTGGAAATGACACTGTAAAGCATGCTTCAGTTGTCACAAGAAGCAACAAAGGTGTGATGTTTATCCACAGTTTCTACCTCTTGGCTGAATGCTACTCCCAAGGCAACACTTGAGCCCCAGTCTGCATGCTGGATGCATCTGTGGATCAGCCTGTGCGCAGAGAAGTCACAAACTTGAGTATGAAACTGTGGGCATATGTAGGAAAAGTGGGTGCAGAAGGGGTTTGGGCAGCATCTGTTCAAGGGCCCTCCAGCACATCCATGTCTCCTTGTCCTTTCCATTTTGGCTGAACTTGGCTTGCCCCTTTGGGATCAGAATTCCATGCCCTTGTGGCTTCTGTGTAGAATGAATTAAACTTCCCATGTCTATGTTATCTGCTTGTCAACTCTTGTTTTAGGTATGACTTCTCTGTCAAGTCTTATCCAACTATTCTTAAGAATGAATTCATGGCCAGATGGTGGTGGCACACTCCTTTAATCCCAGTACTCGGGAGGCAGGTGCATCTCTGTGAGTTCCAGGACAGCCAAGGCTACACAAAGAAACCCTGTCTTGAAAAACCAAAATAAAAAAAAAAAATGAATTCAGTTTTATTTCCATCATCCTTGTCCATTTAATTGTCAGTGGCAGTCAATTCAGCATCAGTCAACAATGGTCACCTGTCTGCTTCCTTTCCCTGTGGTGATGCTCCAAGGATAAGGGACCCTGTCTCTATCAGGCAAACAAGTCTGCTGTGGAAGCAGACAAGTACGGATTCAAATCCCAACTCAGAAAATTTTTTTAACAGTTCTGAACTTCCATTGCCTTATCTTGAAAAGGGAATTGTAGAATTATAGCAAATGTTAAGGTATATACTAATTCAGCCATAAAGCTAGCCACGTTTCAGCCCTTAATAAAAGTTAAGATAGACCAACAATGTGGTATAATAGGGCTGGGACTGTAGCTCGGTGGTAGAATATACCTAAGGTAAACAAAACCCTTGGTTCCATCCTCGGTACTCTGTGTGTGTGTGGGTGTGTGGGTGGGGGTGGGTGGTGCTTTTCAGAAATTATTAAAATGTTTCACTAGATTTAAGCAAAATTCTTACTTTCATATCTTCATGACCAGTATGAAACATGGTAGGCTACCAACCCAATGAAAGGTTGTTTTTTACTTTATGTGAAGTATCATCATAAAATAGATGCTGATTTTTAAACATACGGGTATCAGAGATGGACACAGGGAGCAGGGGTGGGGGGCAGACAGATGATTGATTGATTGTCTCTGGGGGTGGAGAGTCCTTAATTTGGTATCTCCAAAACTAAGGCCAGTTCCCTCTAGAGATGGTATGGTAATGGGAAGAAGTCTCTGTTTCTCAAGACATGACTGTTAAAGACGAGGTATGCTGACCAAGTTCTTTTCCTCTGCCTAGGTAATAAAGCTCTTACAATCAAAATACCACTACAATGAAGAGGCAGAAATCATCTGTGATAAAGTTCAGGTTAAACTCAGCAAGGAATGCTTTCATCCTTACAGTACATGCATTACAGATGTGAGGACTTCACACTGGGAAGAAGCAATCCAGGAAACCAAAGGTGGTGCTGACAATAGGAAACTGGCAGAAGAATGTTACTTCCTGTGGAAGTCTACACGTTTACAGCATATGATCCTGGCAGAAGATGTCAAAGCCATGCTCACTGAACTTCGCAAAGAGGTCCGCCTACTCTTGTTAACAAATGGTGACAGACAGACACAGAGGGAGAAGATAGAGGCTTGTGCCTGCCAGTCTTACTTTGACGCTATTGTTGTCGGAGGAGAGCAGAAAGAGGAGAAACCAGCACCTTCCATATTTTATCACTGCTGTGATCTCCTTGGAGTGCAGCCAGGAGACTGCGTGATGGTTGGTGACACACTAGAAACCGATATACAAGGAGGCCTCAATGCAGGACTGAAAGCCACAGTCTGGATAAACAAGAGTGGAAGGGTGCCGCTGACGTCATCCCCCATGCCTCACTATATGGTTTCCTCTGTGCTGGAATTACCTGCTCTCCTACAAAGCATAGACTGCAAAGTCAGCATGTCTGTGTAGTGCACAGAGGAACACAGCAACCAAGTGCAGAGCCAGTTGACGGGGCAGAACTAATGAACACCGAGGCATTCTGTGTTTGTTTTCAGTTCCAAGAATAATGTGAGTGAGGGATTCACGGCCATGCTGTGAAGATCCTCCCAGCCCTGCCGCTGTTGATAACCATAGCCTTGTACTCAGAAAACTTGAAGGAAGGCAGGATAGCTTACATGTGGATATGAAGGTACTGGTTTACAGCATAGAAATAGATATTTTTTTAAGAAATAGATATTCTAAAATAGAAATTCAAGCAACTAAATCAGGTCGGCATAAGTACTAAATCATACAAATCAAAACATTTCATAGTAAAATTTTGCATATTTTAGACAATTTTTTTGTTAAAACATTTTGCCTACTTTCAATGTGTATGTTCTTATCTATTTGATTTTTCTGCATGAATTTTGAAGGGCTTAATTTTCTGTGGTGTGAACATGACAGATTGTTATCATTTGGAGAAAAAATAATAAAAATCAACCCATGGTGCTCCTTTTCCACACCATTTTGATACTTCTGCAGTGGGCTTGTGGCTTCCATAGTCTTTATTCCTAAAGAGTAAAAACTGCCTTTTTTGAGGCACACAGTGGAGAGGACTGGACACTTTGCTTAGGTTAAGTGCTGGCCACAGGGCACCAAAGCCATTTGCTCTTGTGGATCCACAGAAGAGAATTGCCTCCATGTGTTCTGACCAGGCAGCCTCCCTGCTGGTCTGTTTTCTGGTGACTGTTTCCCGCAGATGACTAAACTAGTAGAGAAAGTTAGGCGTGGAAAGCCAGGGGTGGTGGTGCACACCTATAATCCCAGCACTCAGTCAGCAGAAGCAGGTAGATCTCTGTGAGTTCAAGGATGCATCGTGAGAACCTCTCTCCAAAAAAAGGAAAAAAGCAAAGGAAAAAAGAATGAAAATTGACGTGAGTGGCTTTCACAGTTACCTCCAAGTTTGAGGAAGCACTGTGTCTCAGACCCTCTAGTGCTCACTTGGAGCTTGATTAATGTTCCATGGCAACATTGGCAACCAGGGAATTTCCCCCAGGCTGTTAGACTGCCAGTCTCATGATTTTCTAACCAGACTTGGAATGTGTGGCTAATAAAGGAAAAATAATGAAATAAATATTACATGAGTTGGTTTGAGTAGGTTTTAAAAAAATTAGAAGAACGCACTAATGGGAAATACTAGATAGACTACATTGAGAAATATGTAGGTTTGACTTCAAGAGTGAGACAATCACATTCTAGGTTCTGCCTTCTTGTGAACCTAATAACCATTGTTCTGTGTCTACTAATAACAACCAGATTCTCTGTACAAATGTCCTCTTGTGTTTGCTTCTCTTAGTTCTTTAAAACACTGTGTCCTTCCTCGACTGTCCTGCAGTATATCTGCTGTGAAGTAGGATGTTCAGGCACAGTGCCCATATGACCTTGATTAAAATGTACCTATCTAAAAATTGTTGAGTTTGAGTGAAAATAATTATGTACATGATTCTTACAATAGCAACCGATGTCACACTGAGGTCTCATCCTTCTAGCCATCCCACAAATAGTAGACACAGATATGCCAGGTCATCTTTACTATGCTAACTAAAGGTTTTTCATTCCTAAAATGTTAGCAGTTCTTCAGCAAAAGTAATCTGGGAAAAATACAAGTAAAATTACTTGTCTTCATAGCATGTCCCAGACAGTTCAGCATGCAATATCTCAGTCTGTCCATACCTTCCTCGGGAAAGAGTTCTGATGCTCTACCTTCTGATGTAGTGTTACATAAATAGTAAAGGTATTTGAATAGGCCTGTGGTGCTACTAATGCTTTTTAGGATGTTAGAATTCTTTAAAATTTAACAATGGTAAAAGAATGGTTTGTTGGCCGGGCGGTGGTGGCACACACCTTTAATCCCAGCACTCAGGAGGCAGAGGCAGGCAGATCTCTGAGTTCGAGGCCAGCCTGGGCTACCAAGTGAGTCCCAGGAAAGGCGCAAAACTACACAGAGAAACCCTGTCTCCAAAAACAAAAACAAAACAAAGAATGGTTTGTCATCTATATTATAGTTTCCACAGGGATGGCATGCCCATACAAAGCCAAGATGTTGGTTTCACTCTTAGTGGCTGTGTGTGTGTGTGTGTGTGTGTGTGTGTGTGTGTGTGTGTGTGTGTGTGTGTGTGTAGGTTCTTTTTTCTTTCCTGTAGCTCTGGGAACTCTAGCAGTCCATTGATGAGAATTCTTTTTCCGTTTGGCCCTCTGAACCTTTACAAAAACTTACACTCTGCTCCTGGGAAATGCTTATGGATGCGTATAAATGTTTGCTTGCATGCATGTGTGTGCACCACATATCTGCAGAGGTCAGATAAGGGCCTCAAATTCCCTGGAACTGAAGTTAAAGGTGGTTTGAGCCACTGTCTGGGTTCTAGGAGCTGAACCCAGATTTTGTAAGAGCAGCCAGTGTTCTTAACCACTGAGCCATCTCTCCAGTCCCTATTGCTTATTTTAAATACCTCCCTACTACCTTGGGTATTGTGGGGATTTTTTTTTTTAATGGAACTACTACTGTTCAGATGTTAGACCCCCTCTTTACAACCTGCCACACTTTATTTTGCTCCTGTTTTTCCATGTCTGTTATTAACTTTTTGAGATGTTTCTTCAACTTTATCTTGTCTTTATAACCCCCCTACACACACACACACACACACACTACTTTCATACCTAAAGTTTTCAAGAGCTTTTTCAGATTTCCTGAATGTGCTTTTTCCCAGTGGACAAAAGAAGATGTCATTGACTTGCACACACACCCCCGGAAAGTCAGCCTCACCTTACAGATGAGATCATCAACTTAATGAATTTAGTCACAGATGCTAGCACAAAGTCCTCACCTGGATGAAGGGCGGTTCTCAACTTTAGTTTCAGGCCATGTCCATCATGTGAGGGAAGGTATGACAGTAGGAGGCAGCTAGTCATCATACTGTCCACACACAGGAAGCAGAGAACAATAAGTGTTTCACAGCTGGGCATCTGGAAGTGACCAGAGGCAAAGAAAATCCAGCCATCTCTGTTCTGTACCTACTATTCCTTTAGTATCTACTTGGTGGGGGGAGCCTTCTTCCAAGGGAAAAAAAAAAAGGTAAAAACTAGTTTTCTGCTTGTTCCTGGAAAACTCTGTGATCACTTTTGTCAAAGAAACGATTCAGAAATCTGAAGGGCCCGGCACAAAAGATTGGCCCACTCTCCTGCAGCAGTGGGGCCTTCTCAGTCTAGTCGGGCCTTCCAGGTCATCACCTTGGAGGGATGAAGAGTGGATGGTTTCGTCTTTTTCTGCACACTCATCCCCTCCTGGTTGGTAGGAGCAGGTCGGAGAGGATTAAGCCTGCCCCTGTCCTAAGTTAGCTCCACAGCCTCCAATAGCCTACTGATGATGTGGGCTGCCCTCTCTAGACAGCTGTGGGCATCAATTGTTACCTTCCTGTTGCACATGGGGACTGCCTTCCCATCACTGGGCCTCAAAAGTGGGTCTGGGAAGGGCACGACATGGCCACAAGTGTCTCATGTCCTTGTCTCATTATCAGAATTAAGGTGCATCCCACCCACCTTGTCTACTGTCTTTCATGCCCCTGCCACAGCCCCCTTATGCTTACGCTTTACAGGGGAGGCATACCTGTTCCCTAACCCCGAGTTCCACCATGAGACTACACACTCGGCTCAAGAAGGGGGCTCACAGACTAGACACTTCAAGGAACTAGGGCTGGAGCAGAATGGGTTACAGATCATGGTGGAGGGAGTACTTAGCATGTGTGTGGTCCTGGGCAACCCCAGCACTGAAAAGTTCACATCAGTTCCCTTGCCCTTACATCATTTCCTTGCTCAACTCATTCTTACAAGGTGTGGAGGAGTTCTGGGGAAAAACATGCTCTTAGCAGCTGCTTTGAGAACTCCAAGGACTCGTTTGCTTTGACATCTGTATCTACCAACTTAGTTCCAAGTGTTGACTGGATATCCTGGTACATAGAGAGCAGGTACTGTACAGATGAATTGCAAAGGTCAAACAAGCTACTCTATTCAGGTCCTAACTCCTAAGCTGATATATAAAAGAATCAAAACATTTGATGGGGGCAGAGAAGGAAGAGAGAATGAATTTAGCCCAGCACCAGTGCATGGAGTCTTCAGCAGCCAGGAGGAGGTCACCATCTCCAAAGAGGTAATGTCAGCCTGCGTGAGGAGTGGGATCTGCATGAGAGATGGTGGAGTCAAATTTGCACAGGTTGGATGGACCTTAAAAAACAGGCTGTGATAGGAGGCCCAAAGAGGGTAAAGAAAGCTATCATCATCAACATTTCAGGAAAAGTGCTGTGTGTGTGTGTGTGTGTGTGTGTGTGTGTGTGTGTGTGTGTGTGTGTGTGTGTGTGACCAGGCCATGTGGACAGTGGAGAAAAGGGTTGTGTGTAATAATAGTATGCATAGTGAAGTTTTGGGTAGCCAATGGGAGGAGCAGTTCTAATGTGGCTAAGGGTTCAGGGGTGTGTGTTCAGTGAAACTGTGTGTGACACAGTTTTATGGATCGTTGGGAGGGTTTGTGTATGTAGTGGGAGTTCGTTAAGAGACATGTGCATGTCCTTCTGCAGCCTCGTCCCCCAGGAGGGTGTTTAATGCTGAATGGGCTCTAAAAGCACAAAAACTGGTCCTTCTGTATGGATTTCAGAGCTGTATTTGCTTCCCATTCCCAGTGCTCTGGAGAGACACCGTCTGTTCATCATATGAGCCACCCTAGGATGCATAAGCAGAGTCAGAGGAGGCTGGGAGAACCTACCTGGCCTGCACACTGCAAAGCTGAGTGGCCAGCAGAGGCTCCTGATACAGAGAGGTGACTCCTGAAGGGAGGGCAGCTTGAGTTGCCGTCTGCTAGATTCCCTCCCCACTGCCCCCCCACTCTAAGAAACAAATTTTAGAAGACCAAGAGAGAAATTTCTCCAACACTTCATCTTGGGATTCAAAACCTCCCGTGCTTTTTGTCCATCCCTCTCAGGAACACTGGTGTCCACTCCTCATCTTTTTACTTTTCTTTATGTAATTGTTCATGTCCCTTCCTTGACGCCGTCCCCTGTCCCCTCTTTGGCTTCTTTCATTTACAACAGCAACCTTTATCTTAAGTAATGGTTGACTTTACAGCACACTCTACTTTCGCTTGCTTTGCCCTGTTTCTTTTATTTCTGTTTTGTGACTTATGCATCTGTTGCTTTAGTTAGCTCCTGTTTTATCTTCAAAGGGAACAGTCCTTTTTTGTTTGTTTGTTTCTCTTTTTATTTTTATTTTATGTGTATGGATGATTTGCCTGCATGTATGCCTGTGTACCATGTGCATGCCTGGTCCCAGCAGAAGCCAGAAGAGAACATCAGATCCCCTGGAACGGGAGTGAACACTTGTGAGCCACCGTGTGGGTGCTGGGAATCAAACTCAGGTCCTCTGGAAGAGCAGCCATCGCTCCAGCCCCAACAGCTTATTCTTTT